GATGACTTGCAAAGGCAATGACTTGCCGCAAAGTTCTTAGAGAAGAGCGAAAAAGGAAAGAAAGCTCGTGCTGAGAAGGGAGGCTCCTTGCACACTGGAGGTGCGATCAGCCTAGGGACAATAAAAAGAAGATTGGTACGTAATTGCTTAAATTATTTTAATTTTCAAAGTATATCTATTCTGTTTATTAACTAAATTAATGTGTTTTCAGGAAAAGAAGTTGTGGCGTCCAATGAACCATGATGATCTATTCAAGGAGACGCATATTGTAAAGAAGAAGAAAGAGGCGGATCAAGAAAGGTGGGTCGAGGACCGGGCCTCGACTGTATATGTAAGCTTTCACTTTTCTTTAAGTAATTTAATTTACTTTTATATAAATTTTGAAATACTAATTCAATTTAAATTTTCGTATAGGGTCGCTACCAAACTAACGTGGAGGAATTCATCCGCACTCAGCCAGCTGGTGAATCGGGCGAGCCAACCCAACCTTCAGACGAGGATGCTGAAAGAATATGGATGGAGTCTGCTGGCGGTCCAAAATGGGGGAAGTATACGGGCTTCCTACTAAAAAGTTCCATCGCTATAAGTGTGGAATGCAAGGAATAGGGACTTCCTCGCAAGGCGAGCAACTTAATGGGGAGAGCCTCTCTGCTATGCGGGACACTGTGACAAAGCTCACATCCGAGCTAGAAGTGGCCAAGGAAAGAGAAAGGGTTAGAGATGCTCAATTCCTTGGCATGCAAGCTCAGATTAGAACTCTCCTATCTACTGAAGTTTTTCCATTGCCCCGGTCTCGTGAGTCATCGCCAGAGGCTCAACCTGCACGTGATCGTTCCTCCCATCCTCCCTGTGATCGTTCCTCTCGTCCTCCCCGTGATCGTTCTTCCCGTCCTCCACAAGACCCTTCTCTATACCGTCTTGTAGATGAAAGTTCATTAGACGGTGATGATGATGTTGTAGAAAACACTCCTTGACTTTTATATACTTTGATCTATACAAATAGAACCAGTTTTGAACTAGTTGTAATAAGTTTTAACTTGGTTTTGGATCTTTATGTTCAATTGAACTTTAATTAGTTAGTTTTAATATGTATTTATTGATTGTTGTTGTTGTTGTTGTTGTTGTTGTTGTTGTTGTTTTATGTTGCTATTAGGTGTATTGGTATGCTGGCAGGTGGTGTAGTTGCCAAAACAGGCATTTTATGCCAAATTAAAACCCAGAACCGATCAAAGTTGGTCGGTTTCTAATAAAAAAAAAATATTTTTCTGCAAATTACCGACCAAAGTTGGTCGGTAATCGTTAAAAAAAAATAAAAAATTTACAATTACCGACCAAAGTTGGTCGGTTAATGAACAAGGAATTCCCAGAATTCAACATTACCGACCAACTTTGGTCGGTATTGTTAAATTTTAATTTTTTAAAAATATATATATTTTCATTAACCTACCAACTTTAGTCGGTATTTTTTTAAATCTAATAATTAATAAAAAACATCATTTAAATACACCGAGGTCGGTAAAATTAAATTATTAAAATATGTTTCCGATCAAAGTTGGTCGGTAAATATTTTAAATTCTTCAGATGGTCGTTTTAACATACCGACCAACCTTGGTCGGTATATTAAAATGACCATCAAAATAGCGACCAAGCGTATTTGGACGCGTTTTGGTCGGTAATTGGCCATAACCGACCAATGTTGGTCGGTTTTTCTGGTCGGTATTTATCGGATTTCTAATATTGCCCATGGAAGCAGGAAGTCCATAACTCTTTTTTAAATTATTAATTTATATAGTTTTTATCTCTTAACTTCAAAACTATGATTCTACTTTTGATTTTTCTTTGTGTGATACTCACTTCTCATAGTGAATACTTCGTATTTTAATAGTACATTTTTCTTTGACCAACATTTCTTTAGTTATGGAGTAGATTATAGAAAACAAAAGTTCAAATGCATCTTTACGTGATTTGGACATGCACTGTGAGATGGAGGATGAGAAACGCAAAGAGTGTTTAAACCACAAGGTGCGCAAAGTTCGATTATAATAAATCAATTTCTATAATTTTACGTTCAGTTTGTTTTACACTTCTAAAACTATAATTTGGTTTGAGTTCTCAAAGCCTAACCTTCTAAAGCTACAATGTATTTAGTTGCAAACATTTTTGAAACAAAGCCAGCTCCTTCATATCCAACAATTTAGCTATTAATGCAGGTAAATGAGGAACTGCTATATATTATCAATAACGAGTGACAGAATGAAGGTTTGTGGTAGAATAAATAATATAATTTCTTTTTTTTAAAACCTTAACTAGCAATTTTGAGTTCGAGATACTTAAAATAGAAATTTTTGAATGAAAGTGCTTCATCCTTAAAGAAATTTATGCAGTATAAATCTGAACTAGTCAAATCAGTGAATTCCAGTTATCACAAATTAAAAAGAAAGAGGGGGTGGAGTCCGAGGTTTGCGGGACAAGCTAGTAAATTGGCTACAATCTCCAATGGTTTTTCTTTAGAAAAACTATACAATATATTTCTCTAAAAATTAATAACAGGAAATATATATATTTTTTTATATTACTCCCTCCGTTTCAATTTAGATGACATATTTCACTTATCTGGAGTCAATTTGACTAAACTTGTAGCAAAATTCGATTAATTCAACTCAGTATTTTAAAATTAAAATTTAGATATTCAAAAACTATATAAAAAGTACTATAAGTTGTAATTTTCTCATGTTAATATGATTAAAAACTATATTTTAAATTGTTGGTCAAACTTCACGCAATTTAATTTTCGATAAGCGAAATATATCATCTAATTGGAAACAGAGGGAATAATAGTATAGGGATTTTTACATTCATATACACTATTTGAAACCTTATTACCCTCCCTACTCAAGTTTCAATTTAATTGCATGGTCATATACAATTTACCAATTATATACAAATAAGTTTTAAATGAGTATCCCTTTATATTAGGAATTGAATAAGGAATATCAGTTATTTTCTTATCCCTTTATACTTGCCCCCCC